TTGTTGATTTATTAATGATGGCCATTCTGACATGTGTGAGGTGATACCTCATCGTGGCTTTATTTTTTTAAGATTTTATTTATTTATTTTTAGACAGAGGGGAAGGGAGGGAGAAAGAGAGGGAGAGAAACATCAATGTGTGGTTGTCTCTCAAGTACCCCCTACTGGGAACCTGGGCCACAACCCAGTCGTGTGTTCCAATTGGGAATCAAACTTGCAACCCTTTGGTTCACAGGCTGGCACTCAATCTACTGAGCCATACCAGCTAGGGCTCATTGTGGTTTTATAATTTGCATCTCTCTGATGGCTAGTGATGTTGATCATCTTTTCATATGTCTATGGGTCAGCTGTATGTCCTTCTTGTAGGAGTGTCTTCTCAGGTCCTTCGTTCGTTTTTTAATTAAATTGTCTATCTTCCTGATGTTGAGTCATATGAGTTCTTTATATGTTTTTGAAATCAAACCCTTGTCCAGTGTATCATTGGCAAGGGAACCATATAGTCAGTTCCCTTTTCATTTTTGATATAGCTACCTTAGCTCTGCAGAAGCTTTTTAGTTTGATGTAGTCCCGTGAGTTTAGTTTTTGCCTTTATCTCCCTTGTCCTAGGAGGTATATTGGCCAAAATATTGCTACATGGATATCTGAAATTTTACTGCCTATGTTTTCCTCTAGGACTTTTATGGTGTCACAACTTATACTTAAGTCTTTTATCCATTTAGAGTTTATTCATGTGTATGGTGTGAGTTGGTCTCATGTCATCTTTTTTGCATGTACCAGTCCAGTTCTTCCAACACCATTTATAGAAGAGGCCATCATCTTTACTCCATTGTATGCTCCTGACTCCTTTGTCAAACATTAATGACTTTAGAGACTTGAGTTTATTTCTGGGCTCTCTATTCTGCTCCATTGGTTTATCTGTCTGTTCTTATGCCAGTACCAGACCATTGTGATTACAGTAGCCTTACAGTACAGTTTGATATCAGATATTGTGGTCCTTACTACTTTGTTCTTTTTTCCCAAGATTGCTGAGGCTAGGACTTCTGACCAAGATGGAGGGATAGGTTGACACACTTTACCTCCACACACAACTAACTTTAAAACAGAAAACAACCAGAACTACCAGAAAATAAAACTTCTGGAAGTCCAACAACCAAGAATTTAAAGAAGAAATATTCATCCAGATGGGTATGAGGGGGGCAGAGAGGATATGCTGTGGCCCCAGTGAGGTGGTGGTAGAAAGTCAGCAGCAGTAGTGGCCAGCAGAATGGGTGGTCCCACATTCACATGTGGCAGATAAAAACCAGGAGACATACCTGGGGAGCAAGCAATCCTGGCCCTAGCCCAGACTATGCAGCCCAGGGTTCCAGAGCTGGGAAATAAAGCCTCATAACTTCTGATTGTAAAAACCAGTGGTGGTTGGGGTGGCAGAAGAAACATGCCTCTCAAAAGAATCTGTTTAAAGGACATATGCAGACCTACCCACCCTGGGATTCAGCACCAGAGCAGCAACTAGAAGGGTGACAGTTGTATACAGGAAGTGAGGGAAGTGACTGAAAATGGGGTGAGAGCCAAGCAAGCGACAGTGTTTCCTCTCCATCCCCTCCCCTACATACAGCACCACAAACTGGGTTGCCCCATCCTGGTGAATACCTGAGGCTCTGCCTCTTACAATGTAACAGGTGCACCAAGGCAGAAAGTCAAAGCTGCTCTACCTAATACACAGAGACAAGCATAGGGAGGCTGCCAAATTGAGGAGAGGAGGAGATGTGGCCCAAATGAAAGAATGAACCAAAACTAAGTGGAACAGAGATAACCAATCTACCTCTACATTAAAACCAACCTGTTTTGATGCAGAATTCAAGACACTGGTGATAGGGATGCTTAGAGAACTTGTTGAATATGGCAAATGCATATGGGGAGAAATGAAGGCTACACTAAGTGAAATGAAGAAAAACCCATAGAGAACCAAGAGTGAAATGAAAGAAGCCAGGGTTCAGGTCAATGACTTGGAACATAAGGACAAAATAAACAGTCAGTGAGTACAGAATGAAGGAACAATAATTCAAAAAATCAATGAGAGAATAAGAAAACTCTGGGACATCTTCAAAAGTGTGAACATCTGAATCATAGGGATGCTGGAAGGAGAAAAGGAAGAGCAAGAAATTGAAAACTTATTTGAAAAACTAATGAAAGAAAACTTCCCTAATTTGGTGAAGGAAATAGACATGCAAGTCCAGGAAGCACAGAGTCCCAAAGAAGTTGGACCCAAAGAGGAACACACCAAGACATATCATAATTCAAGTGCCAAAGGTTAAAGACAAGAGAGAATTTTAAAAACAGCAAGAGAAAAGAAGAAAGTTACCTACAAGAGTTCCATAAGACTATCATCTCATTTCTCAAAAAAAAAAACTTTGCAGACAAGAAGGGACTAGAAAAGTATTCAAAGTCATGAAAAGCAAGGAGTTAACACCAAGATTACTGTACCCAGCAAAACTATCATTTAGAATGGAATGGCAGATAAAGTGCTTCCCAGACAAGGTAAAGCTAAAGGAGTTCATCATCACCAAGTTGCTATTACATGAAATGTTAAAAGGACTTTTTTTAAGGAAAAGAAAAAGATGAACTATAAAGAGTATAATGACAACAAATTCACAACTACCAACAACTGAATCTAAAAAAGAAAAAAACACACAAACTAAGCAAACAACTAGAACAGGAACAAAATCATAGAAATGGAGATCCCATGGAGGGTTATCAGCAGGGAGGGGGACCAGGAAGAAGGGGGAAAAAGTACAAGGATTAAGAAGCATAAATGATACATACAAAGTAGACAGGGGGAGGTTAAGAATAGTACAGGAAATGGAGAAGCCAAAGAACTTATATGCATGACCCACAGACATGAACTAAGAAGGCGAGATTGCTGGAGAGGAGGGAGGCACCCAATGGAGGGGATCAAAGGGGAAAATAATTGGAACTGTAATATCACAATCAATAAATATTACAAATATTTTTTAAAATATTGCTGCCCCGGGTGGTGTGGCTCAGTGGACTGAGTGCCAGCCTACAAACCAAAGGGTCACTGGTTCAGTTCCCAGTCAGAACACATGCCTGGGTTGAGTGCCTGGTCTCCAGTAGGGAGCATGTGAGACACAACCACATATTGATGTTTCTCTCCCTCTCTTCCTCTCTCTAAAGATAAATAAATAAATACATACATACATGCATACATATTTCTTTAAAGATTGCTGAGGCTATTCTGGGTTTCTTGGGGTTCCATATAAATTTTTGAAATTTGTTCTAAAGACCTTTATTTCTATGCTCTATATTCCTCTGATGTTGGAATATCTTAATAAAGACTATGTATCACTTTTATAATTAAGCAATTATAATAAAAACCAATTAATAAAGCCCTGGCTGGCTCAGATCAGTGGATTGAGCATGGGCCTGTGAACCAGACGATCGCGGTTTGATTCCTAGTCAGGGCACATGCCTGGGTTGCAGGCCAGTTCCCAGCAGGGGATGCACGAGAGGCAACCATACATTGATATTTCTCTCCCTCTTTCCTTCCCTTCCCCTCTAACGATAAATAAATAAAATATTTTTAAACCAATTAATAAATAATAAATTTAATACATTTTTAAAATATCTATTATTCTACATTATAAATGCTGAGTCAATCCTTGTTTAAAAATAAGACAGAGAATTTTTACTTTTTTTTACTGTTTATTAGGTGACACTGGTTAAAAAAGTTATACAGTTTCAGGCACACGGTTCCACAACATACTGTCTTACACTGCATTGTGTGTTCACCCTCCTCCCAGTCATCTCCTGCCATCACCGTTATCCCCCTTCGCCCTTCTCCACTTCACCCCAGCCCCCTACCCTGGCAATCACCACACTGTTGCCCATGTCCATGTGCTTTTTTCTCTTTCTCTTTTTGTTCAGTCCTTCTACTTGCACCCCTAAGTCCACCAACACTCCCCCGCCCCGACAACTGTCTGTCTCTATTTTGCTTGTTGGTTCATTTTGTTCATTAGATTCCACAGGAGTGTCTTTCTGTGACTGGCTTATTTGACTTAGCATAATTCTAAGAGAGGGAATTATTTTTTTAAGGAAAACCAAGTTCAATAAGCTCAGTGCCTGCACCTATAGGGACAATAAGGTGACTATGATATGCTTGCTGCAGAGATGCTTTCTTCTTTAAAATTCTATTTGGTTTCTCATTCTATGACCCACTACTTAATGGGACACTCTAGGTGGCCTTATCCCAAGGTTCATTCGCAACTCTTGTAAACAATCTCAAAGTCATTTTGCTGGAACAGGTGCTATTTTCTAAGCAGCTCTCACCAAAGGGTTGCATAATAATTAACAATCTTCAGATTCGAAGAATTTAAGGTCTCATTTCTGGCAAAGGATACATGTGCCAAACATGCAGTAACGTTTTTGAAACATTGCCTCCTATGCTGTGCTATGAGGAGGCTTGGACACCATATTACAAGAACTCAGCATACTTTTAAAGAGTTCTTTTTCTCTGAAAACAACTCTTATAAGCCTAGAGATTGTCGCTCTTTGCAGCAAAGTGAAACTCTGTTTTCTACAAAACCGTAAAGCTGGGTTTTCAGGGTCCTCTCTTTCGTTCCCGGTACTTCACATGTTACCAAGTAGCCGAAGTCAGCTACACTACATACTCCAAACAAGGCAGATTGGTAATGCAGCCTGCAAATTTAGTATTGAAACTGACTCTTAAATTTGCACAATGTTAGAGACTTGAAAAGAAATGGCAATTCCATGACAGCAAATGCAGACAATAGCCAATGCAGAGGTCTCCACATCCTCCAGGTTCTGTTTGATTTGGAGAACAGATGTGCTTAACTTTAGACATGTAACATAAAGACATTTTAGATGAAATGCCTAAATGGCCAGAGATACCCATAGAGCTGCTTGCTACAGTTGCTCCACATGGTTTCTTCACCTCTAACATTTCTTGTTTGATATTTTAGGAGTTCGTGATGATTGTCGTCTTTGGTTTGGAGTTCATCATCCGAATCTGGTCTGCAGGTTGCTGTTGTCGGTACAGAGGATGGCAAGGAAGACTGAGGTTTGCCCGAAAGCCCTTTTGTGTTATAGGTGAATATCAAAATCCAGACACCTGGATTTCTGCATCCTTTTCTTCTGTCTCCTGTCTATATTGCAACACTTAATTAATATTCAAAGTTAATATTTGTGGAGTGTTTATCACATCAGGCACCCTTGCATTTTAAAAAGTGTTGACTCATTTAATCCTCACCACAACACCGTGAGGTAGATGTTTTCATTATCCCCATTTTATAGATGAAAAACCTTAGGCAAAGAGAAATAAGTTATTAAAAGTCATACAGGTGGTAAGTGGTAGGCCTAGGATTTGAGCCAGGAGGTATGGCTCCGGAACACCCACTTGTATCAAGTTACAGCGTCGCCCTGAATTAGGGGAGCATTCATTTCAGTAATTACAAAACCTCTTTCTTCTCTACAATATGAGCAATATCCCTTTTATGCTTTGATTAATTGGAATGGGTAGAAGTGTATCAGACCTGGTAATACATACCAGATAGTGCTGCTCAAGACTGATTATGAGTGTGTTTTACTTTCTGCATTTGTAACCTCAAACCAGATCAATTGTTTTCCACTCTGGAATATGTGGCTCCCACCCTGAAGTCCTGAAGTAAGAATCATATCCCTGCAACTCCCTTGGTGCTGTGGGCTCAGGGGTGCTCCACTCACCTGGGTGCCAGCTACAAATTATACTTCGTAACAAAGATGCCATGTGGCATTCTGAAGTTAAGATCTAGGATCTGCCAGCAATATATTTTAAAGGGTATCATAAATTATATCTCAATATAAAATTCATGTTTTAAAAAATCATAAGTTGCCTACTTTTCAGCCCTTTATCCCTAAATATTTCAATGTAGATTTCCTAAGAATAAGGATATTCTTTTGTATAACCTTCATCGATTGAACATCGATTGAATATCGATACAGTATCTAATCTGCTGGCTGTGTTCTGCTTTTGTCGATTGACCCAGTAATGTCCTTCATGGCATTCTTTCCTCTTCAGTGCATGACCCGCCTAGCATCACTTAACTGCATTTAGTCGTCATGCCTCTTTAGTCCCCTTTAACCCAGAACTATTCCTCAGACTTTCTTGGCCTCATGATTTTGACATTACAGAAGAACATAGCCTCGTACTCCCCTTTTTAAAAAAATAAAATCTTCTTTTGGGGAAAAAATAAACCCAATATATAAAAGCTATTGTTGTTGTCGTTGTTGTTTAACAGCTAAATTTGGCTTTCTTGGCCTCTTTGCCTTCTCACTTCTTGGCAGTCATTCAAATCCAGATACCGCACGTTCTTGGAGAGGATTACTTATTTCCAATCTCTGAAAGTGGATTTTTAGTCTACAAAGTAGTGTAGACCATCTTCTTCATCCACGACAGGTTTTTCATTTTGTTTCGGAAGTCAGGAAGTAATGAGTCATCTTCTTAGTTCCCTCCTTTACCCCTGTTGCCAGTGGCAGGGGCAGAGTGATTTAAGGAGGAACTGGAGGAAGTCCCTCCCGTCCGTGGGCACTGTGAAGAAGAATGTTTCATTCCATCCTTGTTGTGAAGGAAGAGCCCTGTCCTGGGGATGGGAGAATGGGTGGGCTCCCCACACACTTTCTGCCACTGAGGTAATTTCATAGTATACACATTTCAAAAGTATTTATTCAATTACTCTTTATAGAATTTAGCTGTGTGCGAAGCACTGTAGTAAATATAATGAAATTATAAATTAATTCAATCTTAAAAGGCCTTGTCTATCCAGCTGCCTCTCTTCTACAAGAACAGGTTTTCCTCTTTTTTGGAAACCATTGCTCAGGTGTAGAGGAAAGTAGATCGTAACTCCCAGACACGCAGGTCCATCCAGCCCCAAGGTGTATTAGTGAAACCATTTGATATGTTTCTCTGGAGACTTTTACTCTTTTTCAATTCTCTGCTCAAGCAACATCACAGAGGACTATAACTTGATGTGAAACTGCTGTACAAGTACTTTCTGTCCTATAAGGGACCCCCAAAAAACAATTCACAGGGCAGGTGGCCGGCCAAGACTCACTCCACTTCTACAGGATAAGGTTGGTTCACAGATGACTGAGGGAGTGTTCTAGTCCCGATTTTAAAACCAGTTAAAACTTGGTTTTGTTCCAGTTCCAGAGGCAATGCCAACGTATTTCTGGCCCCCAAGCTGAAAAGAAAGTTCTTTCCTAGATGTCTGCTGCCTTCTGATAGCTGTTTTCGACTGTGCATTCATTGAAACATCTTAGTACTCTAATCTTTCTCTCCCTGTCTCAGATCCTTGCAGGTTTTGAAGCAACACATGGTTCTGAACATGATGGTTTGTTTGTTTGTTTGTTTGTTTTCAAATGTATTGATTATACTATTACAGTTGTACCATTTTCCCCCTTTATTCCCCTCCACCCTGCACTCCCCCTCCCACAGCACTCCCCCATTTAGTTCATGTTATTGAGTCGTGCATATACGTTCTTTGGCTTCTCCATTTCCTGTACTATTCTTAATCTCCCCCTGACCCCCCTGTCTATTTTGTATGTACCGTGTATACTTCTTAGTAACTGTACCCTTCCCCCTGTTCTCCCTGGTCCCACTCCCTGCCGATAACCCTCCATGTGGTCTCCATTTCTATGATCTTATTCCTTTTCTAGTTGTTTGCTTACTTTGTTTTTGTTTTTGATTTTTAGATTCAGTTGTTGACATTTATAAGTTTGTTGTCATTATACTGTTCATAGTTTTGATCTTCTTCTTTTTCTTAAAAAGTCTTTTTAACATTTCATGTAATAAGGACTTGGCGATGATGAACTCCTTTAGCTTTACCTTGTCTGGGAAGCACTTTATCTGCCCTTCCATTCTACATGATAGCTTTGCTGGATAGAGTAATCTTGTATGTGGTCCTTGCTTTTCATGACTTTGAATATTTCTTCTCAGCCCCCTCTTGCCTGTAAGGTTTCCTTTGAGAAACTAGCTGATAGTCTTATGGGAATTCCTTTGTAGGTAACACTCTTCTTTTGCTTCTTTTAAGATTCTCTCCCTATCTTTAATCCTGGGTAATGTAATTATGATGTGCCTTGATGTGTACTTTCTTGGGTCCAACTTCTTTGGGACTCTCTGAGCTTCCTGGACTTCCTGGAAGTCTATTTCCTTTACCAGATTAGGGAAGGTCTCCATTAGTTTTTCAAATTACTTTTCAATTTCTTGCTCTTTCTCTTCTTCTTCTGGTACCCCTACGATTTGGATGTTAGAACATTTAAAGTTGTCCCAGAGGTTCCTAAACCTCTCCTAATTTTTTTTGAGTTCTTATTTCTTCATTCTGTCCTGGTTGAATGTTTATTTATTCCTTCTGGTCCAAACTGTTGATTTAAGTCCCAATTTTCTTCCCATCACTGTTGGTTTCCTGTACATATTCCTTTATTTCACTTTGCATAGCCTTCATTTTTTCTCTGTTTTGCAACCATAATCAACCATTTCTGTTGAGGATCGTGATTACCAGTGTTTTGAACTCTGCATCTGATAGGTTAGCTATCTCTTCAACATTTAATTGTATTTTTTCTGGAGCTTTGATCTGTTCTTTCATTTGGGCATTTTTTTTATTGTCTTGGCACACCTATTACATAGTGAGGAGCTAAGCCGTAAGTATACACCAAGGTGGGGCACCCCATGTAGCTTCGCTTTGGTGCTATATGTGGGGGAGGGGTCTGAGAGGGAACAATGCTGCCTGCTGGCTTTCGGATGGCTTTCAGCACAGCCTCCACTACCCACAAGCAAATTGGGTCTTTCTGGTGCTGATTCCCAGGTGGGTGGGTTTGTGCATGTTCTAGGACCCTGTAGGTCTCTCCAGTGAATTGTCCTGTGAGGCTGGGAGTGTCTCCAGCCACTGGAACCCCCATAGGTTTCTTCAGTCAAAGATTTTGAGTCCTTATTTCTCCACACTAGAACCCTGGGTTGAGCAGTTTGTCTGGCTCCCCAGTTGTTCCTCCAAGTTTATCTGCATGTAAATGTCAGACTGCCCACTTCACCAGCCACTGCCTGGACTGCTCCAGCAGCCACTGCCTTGCCATGAGCCCTCACCACCCCAGCTGCCTGTCTCTGCCCCTACCAGTCTGAATTCTTCTTCTTTAACTCCTTGGTTGTCAGACTTCAATACAGTTTGATCCTCTGGTAGTTCTGGTTGGTTTTTGCACAGAAATGTGTTATTGTCCTACTTTTGGTTGTACGAGGAGGCACAGTGAATCTACCTATGCCTCCATCTTGGCTGGAAGTCCTAAACATGATGTTATCTGTAAGTCTCAACATCGATGGACCTATCAATAATAACCTTACAAATTTAGTATAATATGCTTTAGGCATAGATTTAGTTTAGTTAATTCCCCCAGCCTTTTTTTCACTTGGATATTTTACCTCTAGTAAATTAATCATTTTGGAAGAAAATTTTATGAATAAATATATAATGAATCCCTATTAGAACAAAGACAACATTTGTACTTACATTTGGGGTAATTATTCATTTCTTTCAGTTGTTTATTAATGTACATATAACAGTTTGACCCAGTGGTCCACCTGCATTGAGGTACTGGTGAAACATATTCAAATGTGGCTTTAAACATATTCAAATGTGGCTCTTCAGTATGAGGTCAATAAAATTTAACTTACACAGAGGAACAAAATGTCACTGCCAGGCAGTAGGCTGTACCAGGTGACAAAACCTTTTCTGGGCCTGTTTAATAGGTCCATAAAAATAATTGATGTCACCCAATGAACCTTGTATTTCCCTTGCTCAACATAATGTACCATGATGAAATGAAAAAAGGAATAACATCTCTCTCATCTGTCCATGAAAACTGTTCAGAGTTTGGAAATGTAGCTAAGATTTCTCAAGACTCCATGTATTTGTAAGATTTGATTACTCTGAACATGCCGAATACACACCCAAACATTTGTACAAGTCTTGAGTATTCAAAAAATGATTGTGATAAGCTGGCTATGCCTTCATTACAGAAAATGCACTCTGTAAGCGCAGCAATGTTGTTCTCTGTCCAACTGGAAG